CTAACGGAGGGCATGACACAAAACCGAGCGCAATGGCGTTCTAGGATTCATATAGCCGACCCCACTTAGTGGGAAAAGGCTTTGTTGTTGTTGTTGTTGTTGTTGATGCTATTGTTTAAAAAATGGTGTTTGCTCCTTTCACATGTGTCATGGAATTGTAATTATTCATTTGGTTTATGTAGTAGTTTCATATTGATTGGAGTTACTTATCCTATGTTTGTTTGTTGTTTTGCAGCTTGGTGATAGATTTATAGGCCGTAGGCTGTTGCAGAAGTTTTATGATAAAGCTCTAACAATTGGCCTTCAAGGCTATGCTCAATTGTATGTCTATTCCTCCCTTTTAATTTGGGTAGTAAATACCTCAAAAAACATTATGCAGTGTGCTACTTTATATGTATATATATTTTCTCAACGTGCATGCACCATATTCATTTAGTTTCCTACAACATACAAAAGGTAGGATTGGGATCTATTTATTTAAACAATAGTTTCTATCCTTTTTAAAATATATTTATGACAAATCATGAATGGTTAATGCAGACACCAGCCTCACTTCTTGCGCCTCGCTAATTGGGAAGGCATTAAAAAGGTTGGTGTTGTCTTTAAGAGTTTTTGGTTTAGCTCAGCATCATTGTTTGAGCAGCGAATAAAGTTGATACTAGACCTCTGTACCCTGCTAGAAACAAATTGATTAGAATAAACAACTTTTTTTACTTTGTGATTCTTTCTACTTTGGAAAGGAAACACTGAATTGTCGATTTATCACATTATGAAATATTGTTAAAACCTGCAACAAGTAATTTTACTTCTGGAATTTTCAACTTTTGAACCCATGGACCACATAATAGTTGATTGTGGATTTATATTACTCATGGAAAACAGGAAACATCCAAATGAAACAGTTCTGTGGAAATAATCTCGGTGTGTGTGTGTGTGTGTTTGTACTTCGTTGAGTGGCATTACCTGCCCTATACTAATCTTTGTTTTGTTCTTGTTCTTCAATAGTCACGCTCCATTCGTGATTTTGATCAGCATGCTACCTGCATTGTTGGGAAATTTGAGGTATAAGGTCTGAGATTTCACTAATTCCTCTCACTTTACCTTTGTTCTATCTATTGCGTTAAGCTTCTGTTTTTTCTTTACAGACTGTGGACACATTTTACAGACGCTGTACCAGTGCTACTTACGTGGGAAATGTAGCTGTCCCATTACTCTGTATCAGTGCTTTAGATGATCCAGTCTGCACCAGGGAAGCCATTCCTTGGGATGAATGCAGGTGGACCTCTTAAAGTGTTTTCTTTTAACGGTTTCTTCTTTCGCATCATTTAAGCATATGCCTTGTATTCGTCTTCAACAGGGCAAACAAAAATATTGTATTGGCTACAACAAAGCATGGTGGACACTTGGCTTTCTTTGAAGGATTAACTGCTTCTGGCATCTGGTACTTCATGATTCCATGTTAGCTTTGTCCTTTTAAGCTTGTCGTAGTATGGTGTCTTTGTGTCATCATATGTTCGTTGCGGCTGTTGTGATCATAATAGTCTCTTTGATATGGTTGGTATGTGCACTTTTAGGCAACCTCGTCATAACTTTTGTTCTAACATGCGTGATTGATTTTCTTTCCCTTGCAGGTGGGTAAGGGCTGTTGATGAATATCTCAAAATTCTACACTCTAGCCAATATATGCATGTACAGAAGGTATAATTTTATTTTCCTTAGTCTTCGAGTGCTTAACGAAGTAATTTAGTTATTGGGTGCATGAAGTCTGCGTTTTAGTTTCTCATCACATTGTGTTCTATTATTAGTACGCTGCAGGATACCGGCCATTTTTGCAGATTAATATTGTTGATCTTCATGTTTTTCAGATGGTGAGTAGTTGCCCACAGTTGTCGTTGGACTTTTCAATAGATCATCAAGGTCCCTACGTAAACGTTGCAGAAGATGGAATGGTAGCTGCCGTGGGAAATGAACAGGCGATGGACAATAAGATAGGAGATGTACTCAAACCGCAAAAGATCCATTACAGAGCAACTAACGAAATGGTTTCTGGAGAACAAGATGAAGAGATGATTCAGGCAGAATCACACTTGTTTGCAGAAATCCCACAATCATCCGAACAAGTTACTAGCATGCAGGATGCGAAGCCTCTCGATGTAACTACTAGTGTTAGAAGATGCTTAGATCGGCACTCCCGACAAAGTAAGTGGTCGTTGTGGTTGCTTGTTTATGTTTGCATCGCCACAAGTTGGCCATTGGTTGGTTCTGCACTTAAAATTGTATTGCAAAAGAAGCTCAGAAATTTATTTAGGAAATGATAATACATGTAAGAAACTGTTTCGCCCTAGCAGATTGTCGCTGAATGCTTACATTGTATTAAACTAATATGAAAGAAGATGATAAACCAGTTGAGTCTGGATCAGTCGACGACGATGACATTTTGAAACTTTTTGTCAGCGATCGTTGCATCCATGACATGGTGCGCTTCAATTTCTCCTTCGCATCCACTTATTAGTGCATGAAACAAGTGAATGCCTTCAGTTAACATGGTATGGAAGCCAGACTTGTGGTCAGGGAGAGGCTGAAATGCCTCTGTGACTGTGAGTCTTTCCGGCCCCTGAATGGTGGATAACAGTGACTTGTCATCAATTGTCCCTCTTTAAAATAAAATAAAAAATTAACGGTGCACGATTTCTTAAAATTGACAACCTGAGGTATGTGTTACACTATGTTTGGATGGAGAATTTCTAAATTTTCATAGACTTCTAAATGACGGGAATTACAATTCCCAATAATTGAAATCCTGTTAATTGAAATTTCAGTGTTTGGGTGTTGGATACATGGAAATTGCAAAATGAAGGGAATTACAATTTTCATTGTTTGGATATTCCCTAAAATTTGTATTCCATAGAAGAATACAAATTTGAAAAAAGAAAAATGTTAAACTAGTAACAAAGTCATCAATGATAAAGGTCATCAAACCCCCAAGATTAGGGCCGCCAAACCCGCACTAAAGGGAAAACTGTCTAAATTTTCCAACAATTAAGAACTTATCAAAGGTTTGCAATAATATGATAAGAGTTGATTGAAGTAGGAAAATCCTTGTAAAGCACACTTGCAAATATCAACCAACATTTGTGACATGCAAGACTTTTATTCTAACTAATGTCTTACTGAAAAACACTAAAATGAGAAACATAATGAAAACAATTTTATGCGCCTCATGAAGTAAGCAATAATACCATATTCTTTTTCTTCTCAATTGGGAGAGTCTTCAACATGAGAAATTGCTTGTCATTTTCAATCAACCAAGCACATGCTTTAATTTGTTCTTCTTCGCTGAGATTTGGTATTGCATTTACTTCATCACATACCTCTGTTGGATCAAGTTTCTTTGTGTCTGCATAAATATAATGATGAAGCCATCTTGGCAAGTGAATCTGCAATCACATCTTTAGGGGTGGTTGATTTTCTTTTTGTATGAGGCACATTAACAAAACTTGCTGCCTTTCTCTTGCTTTGAGTCTTTTGACCATTGGCTGAACTAGGTGAAATCTCATTAATAATTTCAATATCTTCTAAACCTTGTGCATCACCAACCAAATCTATATGATCAGATTCATTATGTGGAGGAGTCATAATCTCCACGGCTTCTACACCTGATGGTGGTCAAAAACCATGTGTATGGTCATCTCCCCAAGGAGGATGTAAAATTGACATAAGAAAGCAGATCTTCTGCAACAGATCGTTGAATATGAAGAATATTGTTGCAGAAGGATTTGATATGGATTACACATTGGCACAGTACAAGCCAGAAACCTTCGAGTCTCTTACATACAATGGAACTATCCGGAAGTTGGTGTACGATCTAGGATACCCTCGTGAGGTTTGTCTGTTCTGTCATTTGTTCTCACATTTCAGGAAGAAATTAATGTTGCTAACATATCAGATATTCAATTAATCTGGTTTAATATTGCAATTAATCCAGTAGTGGTAGTGCTTTTTAATTTCAACACTTAGCAGACATCATTTACTACCATTTTAAATTATGAGCAAATCATTCCACCCTTCCCATATAAGGTTACAGAGCAAATAGACAATTCAATCGGAGAAAATAAAACATAATAAGATCACACCCAAATAGCAATTCAATCGGACAATTCAAACTTCCCAGATAAGATAGCACCCAAAAATATGTGATGCTTACAGTAATAAGATCGCAACCCAAAATACATGATCGCACCCAGATAAGGATGGAATGAAACCAGAAATACATGATGCTTACAGGAAGATCGCACCCAAAAAGCTAAAAATAATTCAAGATAGAAGAGAGTAGAGACGTTGACCTAGAACAAAGGAAGAAGATGATTGCACGATCGAAAATCCCTTCGAAGATTGGAGAGTTAATAGAGTGAAGATTGTGCAGCCCTTTTGTTGTGAAATTTGGCAGTAGATATTCGAGTTTGGCGCCCTAATCCTGAAGTTTGGCGCGCACAAAATATCCCCGCAGATGAATTCGGGATTCTTATCGTTGTTGGAATTGTGAAATTACACCTCTTTAGGCGGAAATTAAACTCGGAATTCTTCATCCCCAATTTCCACCTTTTTTTTCCTGTAGAATTTGCCGTTTCTCGCGTTGCAAGGTTCCCAAACGAGGGAAAACTGTTTTCCCATCCTAAATTCCCTAGTTTAAGTGAGATTCTGTTTTATTTTACCGTATCCAAACGAAGTGTTAGTGTAATATCTCAAACCTAATTTTTGTAAAAATTTGATAAGCTTTTGAGGTGTCAATAAAATTAACACGACATACAAGCCATGCTTTATTATTTTGGATGGTGCCCTCTCAATTTCTATCTGTCGAATCGAATGAATTGGAAAAATCAACGGACAAAAATTAATAAGTATGTGTGAGAAGTAAAAATGATAGAATAACACTAGCTTTTTTTTTTTTTTGACGTGGCACAAACATGAGTGGTTATTGGAGGAAATACCATGAACCTTCCAACACTTAATCACTAATGGCTGTTAAGCCCTAAAATCTCAGTCTCACGCTCTCGCCCCCTCCACACCGACTCCCTCTCTCAGCCCTCAACCACCCACGACTGTCTCTCCGTTCCGACGCCGCATATAAACACCTTCTCTCCCAGTCTCTCGCCCTCCTAACAACCATTTCCCCATATGACCACCACCACCGACATCCGCCACGGAGCCACCACAGTTTAGTCCACACTACACACTCCAGAGGTAAATTACATCCAAGTTATTAATAGCCAATCATACATAGGAAACGAAGGAATTATAAATTTGTATTTACAAAGATTTTTTTTATCTCATGTTATGTGAGCTCTGTTCCTATTAAGGTTGGTGATGTTTGGTTTCTGGGTATTCAAACGTTGTTCATTTCCCTGTTTTGTTTGTTTTTAATGTCTTCGTTCTAATTGCCTCCTCTGCGTTATTGTGTGAACACTTTGCTCGTGTAAGTGATCCTGCAGTAGTAGAGCGGAGCGGAGAAAACAATTTGGGAGTTTTTTCTCAAGGGTTTGAAGGGTGTAGGTGAACCCGACCCAACTGACCTTATTGTGTATGAGTGTTGTGTTTTTTTTTTTTTACTTCTTGGTGCATTTGTCGGTGTGGCTTTGCATACAAATGTATCTCCTTTTATTGTAGGTATGGTCGGAATTGAGATTATAATCGTATTATTGTGTGTTTAACGCTTTATACCATACACAATCCATTTCCGAATTATTCTGAATTTCCATATCTTTTGGTAGTTTTTGATGTATTGATACTTTGGTGTATGAACCAAAAGAAATGCATTTTTGTGAAATCGTGGAAATGTAATCAGTTCTTTGCACTTGCTATTAAGTTTTCCAAAAAAAGGGCATAGGTTGCCATTTTCTTGGTGACTGCATAACTACTGCTCACAATTGTTCGTTTACTTTATTATTCATATCGTCAAAGAGCAGTTGTCTGTAGAACGGTAAAGGTTCTATCCCGGGATAAGCCCATTACAAAAGACATGTAACCTATAGTTAAAGGAACTTCTGTTGTTAGTTGTTGTTTTGAAGTATTTTCATTGATTGATCTTATCAAAGTTTTGTTAATTCACTGTTGTGTTCCTGCATTTGTATAGCCAACCTCTATTTGTAAAACATTAACATTCATGAAATTGGAATATCAGTCAAGTATACCATGCTTCTTGTAAGACTGGTTAGCTGTTCCATTTCTTTTTCAATAATTTGGGCCAGGTTTACACCTAAAATTTGTTCGGTGATGTTAGTTTCTAAGAATTGTCAGGCTACTAGAAAAAAAATTGATTTTTCTTTTCAAATTTTTTTCGAAGGATTTGTGATTTATGTTTTGAGTGGAGTTCTAAATGGGACATGACGATTTACTAAAGTGGTTGGATTATTGTGCACTTGGAGGAAGTTTACTGATTGGGTTAATTATAAGGAAAACTAATGAAAAGGGCTTGAAAACTTTGAGTTTTAATGATAAGGACAAAATAAAGGGTAAAGTGAATAGTACGAGGATTGACTTTTTAGTGTAAAAATGTGGTTTTTCGTTAAAGTGAACAGTACCGGGTGCTTTTCGTTAAAGTTCCCATTAATTATATGGTGGTTATCTGGACCATCCTTATAAATGGTTCATTTGTGAAGCGCCATTTACCTTTAGAATGGTAGGTTTTTCTTTCTTTCTTGTATTCATCATCTCGTGTCTACCTGTTTCAATCATCAACCATTGAATCTTGCATTGGTTATGTGCAAATTATTGCTAAATTAAAAGATTAGCAGTATCTACAATTAGTTGCAAACCAAGAATGTCATATATTGATTTGTTTTTTGGATGTCCTGATGATGTTGCATTCAACAGGGTGCAAGTTTGACTCCCCAATTTATTTGTTAATATCTGATGGCGAGCTCTCTGCAACGCTTCTCCAGCCATGTTCGTCTTTCTCGAACCACTTTTGTCTCAGGATCCAAACCTTTCTTGGTGGACGCATTTGTCGAGATCAAACCTGCTGAGGTAAGGATGGTCCTTGGCTTTGAGAAGAACATATTCATAGTGGAGTACAACCCTCAACATTTTTCTTTCTAAAATTTAATCTGATTAATTATCTGTTTTACAGAGTCTTCCATTGGGGCACATAATCCATTTTTTTTATCAAGTAATCTCCTATGTTAGGGAAACAGTTTTGGTATGGCAATACAATGGGGGCATTTGCACAATTTGGTATATTCCTGTGAAAATAAAAAAAAAAAATTTAGGACAGAACATTTTTCTTTCCATGAACTCACAAGTTCTGCGTAGTCACCAAGTCAGTTTTTGCTATCAAAAGTAATTGTGCATTTTTCCTTGGTAATATCTGTTGTCTGTTGTCTTTTCTTCTAATTCTTTCATTGTTACATGACAGCATGTAATGGGCTTACCTGCCACAACTGCAACCCAACATGGACCAGGGTAAGTTGAGAGGTGGAAAATCAATGGAAGTATGTTCCGTTTTTTATTTCTTTTTCCATTTCTTTTTTGTTAGTTTCTGTTGAAAGAATTATGTGGGCTTTGATGAGTGAAATTCTGTTGTAGAATTTGAATTTTCTTTGATCCTACTGGACTTTCTGTGTTTGAGGTATTTTCCATTGCAGTTAACAGCAGTAGATAGGTTTTAACACTTTTTGCATAAGATAGGTCTTTATGCACCTGGATGTTCTGCTCACCGGTGTAAGTACTGGTTTGGTACTGAGGTGCTTTTATAAAAAGTGGGTATAAAAAAAAGTTGAGCTCAAAAATGTGTTTGGTAAACACTTAAAAACAGCTTATTTTCACAGTTTTGGGTGAAAAAATGCTGAAAACGTGAAGCAGCAAAAATGAGCTTATTCTTATAGCACAGCAGAAACAGTTTTTTTTCAAAGCAAAGCAATACCAAACCATGATCAGCTAGAAGTCACTGTCTTAAGGATGTTTTCTGTTATTATCAATAACTTAAAAGTGGTACATAGTTATTATACTTTATGCTTAATGTAATCTTCTGCACCAGGGTCTTTGCTAAACAATGTAAATGTTCCATCAGAAATCCTATTTATGTTTTCTACTGAAGCTATCTAAATACTTGTTTATATTTCATCTTGAGTTCTTTGCGTAGTAACTAATCAAACCGCTCTTCTTAGAGTCAATACCAAATCCAAACTACTTGATGAGGGTGTAATTGCAACATTTTATTACTGCTAGGTTATGAATAGTCAGAGTATCCAAATATTTTTTGCATCAAGGGTTGCCGGAATGTCCAACACATAACAACCAAAAGTTCCCTGCAGGTCCTTATCAAGATTTGCCTCCACTCTTTCCCGTGCCCTCAGCACAGCCACTGCAGCAAATGAGACGCAGACCCAGAAGCTTGAGCGCATTGCTGACGAGCTCCTTGACCTCACAAAGCTCGAGAGGCATGACTACGCCATCCTTTTCAGGCTGAAAATGGGCCTCAATCGGTACGGCCCAGCAATCTCGGGTATTGGCTCGGCATCTTCTGAATCTGGGCCTGCTTCGACAGAATCCAAGATTGCTGAGAAGACTGCATTTGATATAAAGATTGAGAAATTTGACGCAGCGGCAAAGATCAAGATCATAAAGGAGGTTAGGACTTTCACCGACTTGGGACTGAAGGAGGCTAAAGAGTTGGTGGAGAAGGTCCCTGTTGTGGTGAAGAAAGGGTTAACCAAGGAGGAGGCGGGGCCCATTGTCGACAAGCTTAAGGAGTTGGGTGCCACTGTGGTATTGGAATAATTATGCTATTTTGTTTTGCTTATTTCTTTTGTTTCCTTTCACTTAGGATAGTTGAGTTAAATGATAAAGGGAAGATAATATATGCTTTGCACCAGAGTTCTGGAGGTTAGGATTGTTCCTAAACGTTTCCACCACCCAATGAATTATTTTTCTCGGTGGCGATTTTGGTGCTCGTCTTTCAGTCGTCTGCACTTCAAACTGAATATTTTACAATTATTTCTATATTCACACGAGTGCAAGAGGTCAAAATAGGAGCACGGGTATCGCTAGCCTTGTTCTCCATGTGTTTTGTATGGTCAATATAATTATGCACTGATTGTTTCACTGGCTGCTGCCCTGGACTAGTTATTTCTCTATTAACGGCAAATTGAACTGTATCTTTTCTGCGGTGGAGGATGGATGATTTTGGTTTGGTTTGGTTTGGTTTGATTTGGTTTGGTTGACTACCTCCGCTAAATCTAACAGTTTATTCACAAAAAATATAAAGAATTGAACCCAGGACCTTACTCTCGTTGATTTTAAAATAAAATGTCGAGAATTTTATATCCTTGCATTAAAAGAGTTACAGCCGACCAAAAACGTAAGATTTACAAACTGGGTTCACTTAGGTCTGCTTGCTGCTATGTGATGATGCAGCCTTCCTAAAAACAATTCCAGGTATCCATGAGACTGCAAAAACATCTTTTAGCTGATCATGTCGATTTAAAATTTGGCATTGTATTTGAAAGAGCATCTGGGAATCTGCCATATGTCGACCTCAGACTCGATGCGACAGAATACTTGTAAACAACACAATATAAGTTCCATTTTTATTAAACTATGTCCTCCATAACGAAGCCAACCAAGAGAACTTTGATGCTTCCACGTTTTTATATGATTTTTGAGGATTCAAGGTTATCTTTGGACTCATTCAGACGGCTGTTTCAAAGAAAATCCAAGAACCCAATTCCATTGAGGTTTTAGCTCTTCCCCTCCCGTCTTATTTAGGGTAGCCAAATGCTGCCGACGACGACAATGTTTCAAGACGGTAGGTTTGATACCCTAACTTTTTCCCGCTGTTTTTTTTGTCAGAATGCATACGGCATCTTCATAGCCATCGGGATCTATCAAACCAACGGTTTAATTTACGGAGAAAAAATCCAACACTTTTCATAAATTTCCAAAACAGCCTTCATATTTTAATAATACACACAAAAAACAAAATCATCAAATATGTTTTCTAAACCGAAGACATGATTCTCTCTCAAGAAGAATATAAAGATACCCATCTCTTGTCTCTCCATCTCATAGGTTACAAAAAATAATAAATAAATAAAATAAAAAAAATTAACAGAATGGAATTTTCAGAATGAGATATTCCATCCCTTCCTGCCTTATAAATGCTCATTCATGATCTCTTTCATCATGTTCTCAATCTAGTACTAGATTCCCTCTATCTCTCTCTCTCTCTATTATTTTTTAGGGTTTTGTGTTTTTTCTCTCTCTAAATCCATGGAAGACATAGATGAGGAGGAGGAGCTTTTGAATCTTAGCCTTGCGATTGTTACAAGTACAGGGAGGGAAAGATTTAGAAAAAGGAAGAGATCAAGAGATGATGGTGTTGCTAATGGTTCGGTGAGCCCTCTAAACTCTTATGAAGGTTGTGAAGGGAAGATATTCAGGCTTCTTCAAATGAGGGAACAAATGCTAAAAAACCTAGACCACCACAAGAAGAAAGGGGTTGATGTCGATGATGAAGACGGAAAAGGACTGCACCTGATCCACATGTTGCTCATAACAGCCACTGCAGTCAACGAAAACAATGTAGGCTCAGCCTTGGAGCATCTCACTGAGTTGTACAAGAGTGTTTCATTATCCGGTGACTCCATCCAACGAGTAGTGGCTTATTTCGCTGACAGCTTGGCCGCAAGGCTTCTCACACGAAGATCCCCCTTTTATGACATCATCATGAAGGAACCGACGAGCGAAGAAGAGTTTGTAGCGTTCACCGCTCTCTATCGGGTGTCTCCGTACTACCAATTTGCTCATTTCACGGCAATCCAAGCAATCATTGAGGCCTTTGAGAAGGAAGAAGAGAAGAACAATCGTGCATTACATGTTATCGATTTCGATGTCTCCTATGGATTTCAGTGGGCATCTCTTATACAGTCTCTCTCCGAGAAGGCAAGCAGTAGGAAGCGAATATCGCTCAGAATAACTGGGTTTGGAAGAAGCGTGGATGAGCTACGGGAAACGGAGAACAGACTGACAACCTTCTCAAATGGGTTTCAGAATCTTGCTTTTGAATTTCAAGGGTTGTTGAGAGGCTCAAAGCTCGTAAACTTGAGGAAAAAGAGGAACGAAACACTGGCAGTGAATTTGGTTTTTCATTTGAATACTTTGAGCAATAATTTGAAGATATCTGACTTGTTAAAATCTGTACATTTACTTAACCCTTCCATTGTAATCTTGGTTGAACAAGAAGGGACCAGGAGTCCTCGAAGATTCTTATCGAGATTCATGGAGTCTTTGCATTATTTTGCAGCCATGTTTGATTCTTTAGATGAATGTCTGCCATTAGAGAGTGCTGAAAGGTTGAGCATTGAGAAGAACCACCTTGGAAAAGAGATCAAAAGCATGCTCAATTACGACAATAACAACGATGATAATTGTCTGAAAATTGAAAAGATGGAAACATGGAAGGCGAGGATGGAGAGTCATGGTTTTGAAGGAATAAATCTAAGCTCCAGGTCCAAGATACAAGCAAGACTTCTTTTGAAAATAAGGACTCACTATTGTTCACTTGATTTTGATGGAGAGAGTAATGGAGCTGCAGCTGGCTTCAAGGTTTTCGACAGAGATGATGGAAGGACGATATCTCTTGGGTGGCAAGACAGGTATCTGCTTACAGTTTCCGCATGGCACTGAACTGTATCATAACTATATATACTAATCTTCTCTAACACATTCATTAATTATCACTTTGTAATCTTCTTCTTCTTCTTCTTCTTCTTCAGATATAATAACTTTGAATTTAAGCAATTATTGTTTGTTGATGATCATATAGATCAGATTGACTCTTTACACATATTGTATCTGATAAATTCTGGTGAGTTAGTTTGGTTCCTGGAGGCAGACAAGAAAATGAAACAGAGAACACAGAATCGGGAGGAATGTGAAAGGTTTCTTATCTGTGAAGTAATCACAGATATTTCAATAAATATCAACTTATAGGATATTTCCTTACAAGCTAATCTAGAGCAATCTCAGCCCTTGATTCAAAACAAAGATCTAAAGCATACACTTGTCTTATGAGACTAGACATACACTTTTCTATTGATTTCTTCCTTCTTAAACACTTGAACAAAACTGAATTCTATTTAATTCCAACACTCCCCTTTAAATGAATTCTGGTTTTGATCCCAAGCATTCCTCTGAGATAGACAAACCTTTCCCTCGGTAGAGCTTTGGTGAAGATGTCGGCCATTTGATCCTGTGATTTGCAGTAGATCAGTTCAATGGTATTCTCCTGCAAGGCTTCCCTTATGAAGTGAAACTTCCTTTTGATATGCTTGGTTTTCTGATGAAAAATAGGATTCTTGGCCATAGCTATTGTTGATGTGTTGTCACACATAAGTGGTGAAGCATCCACTTGCATTTCACCAAAATCTTTTAACACAAACCTCAACCATATAGCTTGGGAGGTAGCCATTGCAGCACTCACATACTCTGCTTCAGCCGTAGACAATGCAACACTTTGTTGCTTGACAGAAGCCCAAGAAAATATCCCAGAACCGAATGTAAATGCATATCCTGAGGTACTTCTCATGTCATCTTCACTGCCACCCCAATCGCTGTCACAGAAGCCTACCAGAATTGCTTTTTCTCCCTTTTCATATTTGATTCCATAATCCAAGGTCCCTGAGATATACCTTAGTACTCTCTTAGCAGTTCCCATGTGAATTCTCGTGGGATTATGCATAAACCTTGATAAGAGACTGGCTGCATACATAATGTCAGGTCTTGTAGCAGTCAAATAAAGCAGACTTCCAACCATCTTTCGGTATAAGCATTCATCAGCAGATTCAGAACCATCCACTTTACAAAGTTTCTCATTCGTGATCAATGGTGTTGCCACAGATTTGCATCCTTTCAGATTGAATCTTTCAAGCAGTGATTGTGCATACTTCTGTTGATGTATGAAAATCCCAGTAGTTTCTTGTATTACTCCAATTCCCAAGAAGTGATGCAACAAGCCAAGATCCGACATCTCATATTGTCTCATCATTTCCCTTCTGAATTCTTCAATCATTTCTTCACAATTACCAGTAAAGACCACATCATCAACATATATAGGCACAATAAGCATCTCAGAGTTCTCACCAGTTTTTGTATATAATGTAGCTTCACTAGGACTTTTGTTAAATCCACTCTTGCTGAAATAGGAGTCTATCTCACTGTACCAAGCCCTGGGGGCTTGTTTGAGTCCATACAGTGCTTTGTTTAACTTGTAGACCTTCTCCTCTTTATTTGGCACTTCAAATCCTTGTGGTTGATCCACATACACTTCTTCCTCCAAAATTCCATTTAGAAAAGCTGATTTGACATCTAACTGGTGAAGTTTCCATCCCTTTTGGGCAGCAAGAGCAATCAAGGTTCTAATGGTGTCTAACCTTGCCACTGGGGCAAATGTTTCATTGAAATCTACCCCAGGTTGTTGTGAGTAGCCCTTGGCAACTAATCTTGCTTTGTTCTTCTGTATTTATCCATCCAAATTCAATTTGATCTTGTAAATCCATTTCACACCTATCACAGGTTTATCACTCGGTCTATTTACCAATTTCCAAGTAGAGTTTTTCTCAATCATGGCAATTTCTTCACTCATTGCTTTCTGCCATGATTGATCCTTCTCAGCTTCTTCAAAACTCTCTGGTTCAACAACACAATAGTTACACACTGCATAGATCTCATTTAAACTCCTCATTCTCAATGGAGTTGTTTCAGGGGAGGAATCCTGTAATTCTTGTCCTTCTGCATTTGAAGTAGAGGACTGAGATCCTTGTGTTGGAGTTGAAAAATCAGTTTGACTCTCATCTTGTATACAGGTTCATTCACATTTTGCACTTCAGCTTGTGCTTCTTCCATTGCTAGTGGAAATGAGATAGTGTCTATGTTAATGGTTTCCCAATTCCATGCTTCATTCTCCTTGAACACCACATCCCTTGAGAGAATCACTTTACGTGACTCAATATTGTAGAGCCTATAGCCCTTTTCACAGCTTCCATAACCTACAAGGACACACTTGACACTATTGATCTCAAGCTTGTGTCGTAGTTGAGATGGTATCTGTGCATAGCAGATTGATCCGAACACCTTCAAGTGCTTCACACTTGGTTTTCTGCCACTAAATGCCTCAAACGGTGTTTTCTTCTCAAGTGCTTTAGTTGGACACCTGTTTAGGAGATACACAGATGTATTGACAGCTTCACCCCAAAAAGAAAGTGGCATTTTCTTATCATGGAGCATTGACTTGGTCATTTCAACCACGGTCCTGTTCTTCCTCTCAGCCACACCATTCTGTTGTGGTGTGTAGGCCACTGTCAATTGCTTCTGTAATCCTGCTCCTTCACAGAATTCTTGGAACTCAAGTGAAGTGAATTCACCACCTCTGTCGCTTCTTAGTCTTTTGATCTTGAGACCACTCTGAAGTTCAACCATCATTTTGAATTTCTTGAAGATTGAAAAGACTTCACTCTTGTTTCTCATAAGATATACCCAAACCATCCTGGTGCAGTCATCAATGAATAGCAGAAAATATATGTTCCCACTGAGTGTAGGTGTCTCTTCATTGGACCACACACATCTGTGTGTATGAGTTCTAGAGGTTGACTTGCTCTCCATGCACTTCCAGTTTCAAAAGAGTCCCTGTGATGCTTCCCCAATATGCAACCTTCACACGGTTCTTTAGTCTCTTGTAACTCAGGAAGACCAGTCACCATTTGTAGTTTCTCCAATCTCTTTAAACTGTGAAAGTTGAGATGTCCGAACCTCTTATGCCATAACCAAGAGTTTTCTGCAACACTTGCTTTTAGAGCAATTGAATCATTGTAATCTAGCATAAGTGGAAAGCTTTTGTTTTCTGTCATGCCAACTTGTGTTACCAAGTTTTGGAGGCTTCTGTCATCAAAGATCTCCACCATATTGTCTTCAAAAAGTAAGAAGTAACCATGAGCAATCATCTGTCCCACACTAAGGAGATTCTCATCAAGACCCGGTACAAGTATTACATCCTTGATGGATCTTCTTCCACCCTTTGTCTCTAGAACAAGAGTTCCTTTTCCAGTAGCTTCCATTAGTTGTCCATTCCCCATTTTAACTCTGCAATTGAAGCTTCTGTCAATGTTGATCAGTAAGGATTCATATGCAGTCATGTGATTACTGCATCCACTGTCAATATACCATATTCCTTTCTTGTTTTCAGTTTTTGCAACACTACAAGCATAAAAGACATTTACTTCCTCTTCTTCTGCTCTATGTGCATAGTTGACAACTTGGTTCCTTCTTGGATTACAATCTTTTGCTAGATGGCCAAATCTGTCACACTTGGAGCATTTGGGTTTTCCCTTGAACTAGCAAACACCATAGTGTAATTTGTCACAGATTTTACACTTGGTTTTGGTAGACTCACTGCTAGATTTTGATTTTGATTGTGAAGTATGGTTGTTGTCCCATTTCTTCCCTTTTCCTTTCCATAATTTCTTTTGATTTGAGTTGCTCCCTTGACCCCTGTAACTGCTATCTCTCTCAGTCACACTTAGGCTAGTAAAAGCCTTTTCAGCTAAGTTTTCAGAATGCATATTTAACCTCTGCTCATAGCCTTTCAATGTACCAATCACTTCTTGAACCTCAATGGAGTCAAGGTCTTTAGTTTCTTCTATAATAGATGCGATGGAATCATAAGATTTAGGCAAGCTAATAAGTATCTTTTGCACTAATCTTTGATTTGTCAGTTCTTCACCAAGAGTTTTCATTTGATTCACAATATCAGTCAATCTTGTTAAATAAACAGATAGAGCTTCACCATCATTCATCCTAGTGTACTCAAAATCTCTTCTTAAACATTGTAGTTTGACAGACCTAACCTTTTTATCACCACGAAATTCTTGTTGAAGAACATCCCATGCAGTCTTGGAGGTTTCAAAGTTTGAGATTCGAGGAAAGATCTCATCAGACACTGCCCCTTGAATGATACCAAGAGCTTTTGCATCTCTTGTTTCATTAACTTTCATTGCTATCTTCCTCACAGACTGTTGATCTTCATCGCTAGAATCATTTTCAGTTTCTACAGTTTCATAACCCTTGTCCACCAAATTCCAGAGATCATGTGATTTGAATATGGTCTTCATATTGATGGACCAAAAATCGTAGTTGATCCCATTGAAAATAGGAGCCCTCAGATCTCCTCCACTGCTCGAAGTAACCATGTGAGGCTTTGTAAGAACAGATGAGATTTTCACGATCTGGGTATGTTTTTCCCCCTTTCCTTTTCAGAGATACGAAGCACACACACAAAACGCCCAGTCCTGAATTTGATCAGAACCTAAGCTCTGAGGCCATGATAAATTCTGGTGAGTTAGTTTGGTTCCTGGAGGCAGACAAGAAAATGAAACAGAGAACACAAAATCGGGAGGAATGTGAAAGGTTTCTTATCTGTGAAGTAATCACAGATATTTCAATAAATATCAACTTATAGGATATTTCCTTACAAGCTAATCTAGAGCAATCTCAGCCCTTGATTCAAAACAAAGATCTAAAGCATACACTTGTCTTATGAGACTAGACATACTTTTCTATTGATTTCTTCCTTCTTAAACACTTGAACAAAACTGAATTCTATTTAATTCCAACAGTATCAACTCAGATAAGCAGAATAATGCAGTTCCATTTTACTTCATCTATTTCAGTATCAATTAAGAACGTCCTCCAGTCCCATATATATTTATATATAATTGACATTGCTTTGATACAAAATACACCATATTAGATAGCTAAGAACCCGTTTGATAACAATTTCCTTTTGTTGAGATGTGAGGAAAGTATTCGAATGAATGATGGATGAAAGAAGAGTGGTGGGGAGGGAGAGAAATAAATAAAGAAGAACGAATAAAAACAAAACAACTTGGAATAGTTTTTAGTTTTCCCTTTCTGTACCTGTATTACACATTTCATCTACATCTATCAAACCATTTTACCTTAGGCTGGCCGGTCAGAGGAGCCTGGTGAGATGGCCGCCTAGGGTTCCCCATCGAGCGAAGGTCCATGTTAGTCTAGAACTAATGTACTAAGTTAGGACTTTTTGTTTATTGGCTTCTTGACTATAAAACTACACGCATATTTACTTGTAATTGCTCTTATCACTCAGTCCCCTAATAGGATAGACTTAGAAATATGGTAGTGGCAATTCAAGGTTGATTTCATGAGAGAAATGAAGTAGCTTGGTACAAGTTCAAGGTATGATCACATGCATACATTTCATGCATTTGCACTTGGGATTTTCATATACGATTTTTATCACAAATGGTCTTTGAAATTGACCCTCACCGGATGCATGACAACCTCATCCACCTAACTGCATCAAAAATGTGTGCTGTATGCCACGGGAGCTCAGAAAGGACCGGTAAATGTGCAGACAGGAGTGAGCGAAGGCCTTGTGTGTGATCTCTGTCGAATGAGGTCACTGTGTTCGGATCCGTTCAGCGCGTGTACTTTGGCATCAGGTCTTCATCCATCGCTGGCCAAGAAAAAGAAGGATTTGACGCACATCATTGTATAAATTCGGATGGTGCCCAATTAAATCTGAAGATGGTGTTCCATCGCCCGTTGGTACGTGGCCCGGCATTCTTGAGGCCGAATGGCATGACAACCCATTCGTAAGTGCCGAGTGCCCCCGGGCAACGGAAAGCAGTTTTGTGCACATCGGCTTCGGCAATAAATATTTGGTTGTACCCGGCATGTCCATCCATAAAGGATAAGATCGCATGATTCGCCGCGGCATCGATTAACAGGTCTGAGATCGGCATGGGATACTCGTCTTTGGGCGTTGCCAGATTCAGATTTCGAAAATCGGTGCAGATGCGCAGTGCACCACTTTTCTTTAATACAGGAACAATATTCGCCAACCATTCGACATATCGAGCTGTCCGAATGAACCCGGCTTTCAAAAGCCGAACTAGTTCGTCCTTGACACTGAGTTGTAATTCGGTCGAGAATCGACGAGGTGGCTGACGGAAAGGCTTGAATCCTGGCTTAATACGTAATTCATGCTCGACTAAAGCACGATCTAAGCCGGGCATTTCATGATAACTCCAAGCAAAACAATCTTTGAATTCCGTAAGCAAGGCCCGCAACTCGTCCTTCATTTGTTGAGGAAGTAACGCACTAATAAACAAAAGCCGTGGGTCATCGGCCGTCCCAACATTAATCTCTTCCAAAGGGTCCTTAACAAGGGGCCGATGATCTTCGAGTTCGGCCGGGGCGGCTCGAATTTTATCAAAGGATAATGCAGGCCCATTATCTCACTCAGCAAGGAACTCGACAAGGTCGACGCCTGAATTTGGTTGTTTAGATATCGTATACCAATGGGCCAGCAGTCGTTCCATAGTAGATGAAACAGCGGCCCTGCGTGCTTCCCGATCGGTGTCAAACATCAGTTTCGGGGAGAAAGTTAGCTAATCCGAGTCTCGCCGAATCCTGCTGGACAGTCTCGGCGCCAACCTCGATAGCTTTCTAAAACGGAAATCCGAGTCTGCCGTCCCTCTTCATTGAAGCCTTGCAACGTAATATAGCCGACGTGATCGTCATAATACCGTGCTTGAATCATGTTGGCTTCGAAGGGCTGGCTATCGGCCGGATGAACAGTGACCGATTTGCCGTCCCAAAAGACAAGCACTTGGTACAATGAGGAAGGAATACAACTGGTTTGATGAATCCAATCTCGGCCGAGCAGTGCATTATACTCGGTTTTGGAATCAACCACGAAAAATGCGGTCATATGGGTGCGACCGGTAATATTCACAGTTAACGGAATCACACATTTGGTGTGGGACTTGTCGCCGACAAAACTACTCATTGTGATCCCTGACGGAATAAGCTCGTCATTTGAACGGCGTAAAGCCTTCATGATGTTCAGGGGCATGATATTGACAGTAGCTCCACAATTGACAAAAATTTTAGAAACCGGATATCCCTCGATGTGTGCCGTTACATACAATGGCTTTAAATGGTGAAGCTTGGCCGATGATAAACGAGGGAACAATTCGGCCAAAGCAGCCTTTAGACTATCATCTTTTGTTGTTGGCTCGCCTTCAGCAATTGATACGAAATCAACATGGCCGGGTTCCTCAGCAACCACATCTCCATCGAGGAAATTTGGTTGGGCCGTGCTTGATTGAAAATCGGCAGGTAACACATGGACCATACTGATTTCCATATTATCCAGGACTGACGGGCCCAACTGGTCAAGACCTTCCTCGTTCGGTTGGTCAGCGACTACGGACTCAGTTATCGTCAGAGTCGGACAACGAGATTCATCCGTCCCTTCTTCAATAATGTCACTCGGCGGAGCCGCTTCGGCCACTTGTTGGTTCTGCGTGACCGCCTCAGGTAGGGTCGAGATTGACAATGAACTTAGGGTCAAAACCTGAACCTGCTCCTGGTAGTGTAGCCGAGCATCCCTAGTGTCAAGATAAGCATCCAGACGGGCAATACGTGCGATTTCATCGGTCGTAAGGCCGAAAAGAGAAACCGCCGAAAATACTTCAAAGTGATACCGTAAATACTGAAGGTCCTCCAACGAGAAAGGAAGGTCAGCGACATCGATATCGGTATACGGGTCGACTTCAAATCCAAAAACACGAGCTTCTCGTATGTGCTGCTGAAACCTTGCTTTCAATCCTGGATCTGAGGTCTTCTGGATAATCCGCTCAGCATCCGGACAAGTCAGGATCAGATCAATGGTGTCCTGACACGCCTTCGGCAAACCATATAGATCGTTGGTCGAATGTTCTTATGAAATTCTTTGCATATACTCCAAAGACTCCCCAAGGAACGGGGGATGCAAATTCCGTCGAATTTTGACCAAAGGCTCTTGTATAACTAGCGGGGATAATTTGCTTTCGGCCTCTTGCCTGAAATGTTCAAAACGTGCCTTCATTTCCCCTGGTCGAATGAGAAGTTTGATCCGTTTATCAGCTTCTTCAAACATGGTCTCGACGTCTTGATCGACCAGCCGTTTCCCCTGAGCCAACTCTGTCATAATTGCTGGAGGTGGTCGCTCCTCATCAGTGGCAACGGTATCCTTCGGCCGCCACTTAGGGGCCGAAGTTTCTTGGGCTGCTTGTCGGCGAGCCATGCAATCTATCCGTTGATGCCGGCGTTTCTGAGATTTGGACAACGCGGTGTAGACACCCTTTGAAGAATGATATGTATACCAACGTTGATCTCTAGGCTCGGGAGGCTTAAAGGTCTTTTGACTCCGTGATGATCCTGAAACTGCTAGAATTACGCTTATAGTAATCATCGTCATAAAACGAAGCATCAAAATCGAGGCGCCGCCTGACCGGGGGTGTCTCTTCCATCCGTACTTTAGGACCAAGCCTCTCAAAAAACCCGTGATGGTGGCCTTCACTGGCTACCTTTTGCCGAGTTGCGGCCACAGGCTCCGAAGAAGGCTTCTCCTCTGGTTCACTGTCGACCTTTCGCTCTACATTTCCTGCACAAAACCGCCGTCCCACTATCTTCATCGGCGCTATAATCCATCATAGGTTTGACAATAGCGGGCCCCGTTAAAGCCGTAGGTGGTTTATTTGAACGAAAATCGGCCATGAACCATGGCCGAGAATTCTGATTCTGCGGGCGTTGCGTGGTAACAACCTCGGCCTTTCCTTTCCCTTTGTCCTTCGGTAGGTACGCATCGACCATATTTACTGTTGCCGTGGGGGAACGGATCAGTATCCACACTCATCTCTTTTCGGGGAATTTCAGTTTGCCATTATCAATCCAGTTTTGAACGTTGTCGCGAAATACGACACAATTGTTTGTCGTATGTTTGCTTGAATTGTGGTATTTGCAATACACCTTTCCTTTAAGCTCTGCGGCCTTAGGAATGTTGTGACCAGGCCGAAGCTTGATGATTCTTACGGATAACAGTTGGTCGAAGATTGCGTCAGCCTTGGTAATATCAAAAGTGTAGACCTTTGATGGTTTCAACGCTCCTTCAGCGGCCGAGCGACTTTTGACTTCTCTAGAATCAACCTGAGTTAATGCCTTGCAAACGTATGGCTTATCTATCACTATCTCGGCCGCATCCACACTAACGCATTCATCCTCGGTTGACGCATAGCTGACAGTAGGATTTTTGTACAACGTCCCCCGAGATGGCGTTTTCGAAACCTTCTCCTCACGGAGCAAGTAGTCGTACTGTTCA